TTATTAAGTTATTACCATCGGAATAACCTGGGGCGTGGAGTCCTGGAGGCTGGACCCACTAGCGAAGTATTCTACGACATGACACAGTTTTATCAACTTTTATGTTTTTTCGGAAAATACAAAGTGGCCTGATAGCCTTAGGGTGGCCTGATAGGCTGTGATAGCCTTTTCAGCCAAGGGTGACCTGATAGCCTTAGGGTGGCCTGAGAGCCCAGGGTGGCCTGATAGCCTTAGGGTGGCCTGAAAGCCCAGGGTGGCCTGATAGCCTTAGGGTGGCCTGATAGCCTTAGGGTGGCCTGATAGCCTTAGGGTGGCCTGATAGCCTTTTCAGCCCTAGGGTGGCCTGATAGCCTTAGGGTGGCCTGATAGCCCGGGGTGGCCTGATAGCCTTAGGGTGGTCTTTTCAGCCTTGGGGCAAGAAGCTGGTGGCCTCTCTCTCTCTCTCTTGTTGGTGTGTGGAGTTAGCAAACGGTGTGTGGAGTTAATCTTGCCCTTTTTTTTTCGTTTATTTTCCCTCTTTCCCTCTACCACCCGCCTGTCCCCCAGCCGTCCCACACCAGTCACACTGTTCCACATACGTGGCTAGTGGGATCGCCCTCCTGGAATCGGAAGTTCCGCCTGTGGAACGGTTGCCTTGCATTTTCCCTCTAATGTCCAGGTGTTCTGCACTTTGCGTTCATCGTTTTTGCCTGTTTCATAGCATTTCTTTGCCGCTCTGACGCCGACTTCGATCACTATTGCGAGTTGGCAACATTCTCAGAGGGTTCCGACATCGTCTTTTTTTTTCGAGGTTGGCAACTTTCATCATGTCGCAGGACCGGGGGAAGGATTCGGTAGACTCGCTCACGACCGCCCGACAAGGTCATAACACGAAGACGTTTGACTCGCCGTTCAAGGTCGACCCGACAGTCGACGGCAAGCGGGACGACCTGGTGTGGCATTTCATGGCCAGAGGGCGTTATTTGGATGGGTCGACGGCGGCGGGCAGGAAGAGCAGTCGTCGATGCCTGTGCAAGTTGTGCGGGCGTTCGATTTGTGGGGGCGCTAAAGCCGCCAAGGAGCACTTCTCGAAGAGCGAGAAGTTCCGATGTGAGGCAGCCACTCCTGCTGTGTGGAATGCGATCTGGTCGAAGGACATGACAAAATGTCAAAAGGAGTTCGCGTCGGCCATAGAAACGTTGCAGAGCCACTTGCCAGGTCATCCGAGCTTGCAGTGGCCACCTCTTCGATTCCCCGAGGACGCAGTGCCGCCGCTGGTTCCTCCCACCGCCTCTTCTGGAGTCGTCGCATCGCCCAATTCTAGGGCTCCGGCCATTCGAGTCACGGTATCGCGTCCTGCAACAACAGTTGCAACACGACCGGCAGCCCCGCCGTCTGCGCCGCTGGCTGGGACACGAGGTGCTCGCGATGTGGGAGTTGGTCGTTCCACGCCAGCCAACGAGCCCCCGCTTCTAAGGGATGGTGTGGGCTCTGCGGCATTTGACGAGGAGAGCACACGTGCATTTATTGAGAGTCGCAGGTGGGGGGGGAGTGCCGGCAGTTCATCGCCCGCGCTCGCCCCTGTTTTCAGGAGTGCTAGGCAGTCAGATGCCGCATGGGGTGGTACTGCGGTGGTACCTGGCGCATCACCCCGCAGTTCGTCGGAGCACCCCTGGCTGCCACCGCCACCGTCGAGAGCGGCGCAGCGTCCAATGGTCCATCACGCTAACGGAACCGCCCACCCGGATCCGTCACACGCACCTGCAGATGCTCGACATTCTGCTTCCGTGCCTTGTTTCGGGGAACAGGTGGATCATGGGGTGCCTGCCGAGGAGGTCCCCGCTCCGGTGTCCGATTCATCGCCGACCCCTGTTCCGACAACCAGGGGCGGTGGTCGGTCTGCCCCACAGCCTCCACCCGTGTTGACCGGAACGTTAGACCCTTTGCAGCGCATTCGTGACCTTGCAGTCGCCCAGAGCGNCCGTGTTGACCGGAACGTTAGACCCTTTGCAGCGCATTCGTGACCTTGCAGTCGCCCAGAGCGCGACACCTGTGAGCCCTGGCGGGTTGTTGGATGCTGGGTCCTCGGCGGGAGAGCTACGACGGGACGATGTCGGGGCACTTACAGGCAGCAAGCCGTCACGTCATATTATTCGGACCCTTTGGAGCGCGCATGGCATCTGCAAATCATGCGGTTCATCGTCGAAAGCGGGATGCCGTTCAACAGCACGAAGCTTGAAAGCTTCAAACGCATGTTCATGATGATAATCCCGTCGGGGGTTCCTGGGGCGCCCGCGCCTAGACTTCCCTCGTACCACATGCTGTGCACGACCCTTTTGGACGAGCTGGATGGTGAGGTCCAGAAGTGTGTTCGGTCGGTGCTTGACACGTCGAGAGAGACCGGTTGCACAATCATGACCGATGGTTGGACCAACATCCGTGGTCAGACGTTGTGCAACTACCTTGTTGGTACAAACATCGGGGTGGTGTATGTGTCCACCGACGTCATGCGTGGCAAAAAGGATGCCAGTGCCCTCGCGAACGCATGGTTGAAAAGGGTGAAGTCCATGGACGTTCAATTGAGCGACATCACGGCGTTCGTGACGGACTCCGCCGGGGTGAACGTCACGGCGATGGAGGTATTCCAAAAAGATGAGAGCGTGAAACACATCTTCTGGATTCCTTGCGTCGCCCACATCATGGATCTCATTCTCGAGGACATCGGCGGGAATGATTGGGTGGCTTCCCGCATTTCTCAAGCAAGGCTGGTTACAAGGTTCTTCAAGCGCCATGGACATGCGAGAGAGGTTTTTGAGGCGCACTCGACAAAGACTCTTCTGCTACCGGCGGAGACGCGTTTCGACACGAACGTCATCATGATGGAGAGGCTGGTGGCACTGCGGGCCGCGTTGACAGATGCTGTGGCCGACGATCGCTGGCGCAGGACTGTTTGGTCGACCAGCAAGATCCGCAAGGATGCAGCGGAGGTCACTGCATGTATCGGTTCCCCTCCATGGTGGGAGGATTTGAGAGCTCTGTGCAAGATGCTAGAGCCCATCATGGGCATGCTGAAGTTGGTGGACAACGACACACGCCAGATCAACAAGATTCTGCGACGTTACGAGGAAATGATTGCATTTTGTTTATCCGCATGTCATGACATTGATCGGGAGCAGCAGGACGTTATTGTGGAGGTGTTCCACAGGCGGCGCACCATGTTCAAGACCCCCGCCCACACGGCAGCCATGCTGCTAGATCCAGAGTTCCGGGACGCGACGCTTTGTGATGATGCGGAAGTGCAGCAGGCCTTGGTCGAGGCCCTTGTCCAGTTCGGCTACCCGGAGGATTCGCCGCATCACCGGGAGGTCCAACGAGCGGTCGCCAAGCTCCACACGAGGGAGCCCCCTTTCGATGAGCTCACCATGCGGCGAGCTGCGGATATCTTTGATCACCTTGCCAGTTTTTGGTCCTCAAAGAAGGCGAAGTTCCCTCACACGGCCGTGTTTGC